AATATTGACATTTCGGGGTTTTTAGCTATTATTTGTGATCAGTTTTTTAAAGTGGAAAAATAGCATACTTTAAAGTGGCCACACCTCCTTAAATATTGACATTTCGGGGTTTTTAGCTAATATTTGTGATCAGTTTTTTAAAGAGGAAAAATAGCATACTTTAAAGTGGCCACACCTCCTTAAATATTGACATTTCGGGGTTTTTAGCTATTATTTGTGATCACTTTTTTAAAGAGGAAAAATAGCATACTTTAAAATGGCCATAACTCCTTAAATATTGACATTTCGGGGTTTTTAGCTATTATTTGTGATCACTTTTTTAAAGAGGAAAAATAGCATACTTTAAAATGGTCATAACTCCTTAAATATTGACATTTCGGGGTTTTTAGCTATTATTTGTGATCAGTTTTTTAAAGTGGAAAAATAGCATACTTTAAAGTGGCCACACCTCCTTAAATATTGACATTTCGGGGTTTTTAGCTAATATTTGTGATCAGTTTTTTAAAGAGGAAAAATAGCATACTTTAAAGTGGCCACACCTCCTTAAATATTGACATTTCGGGGTTTTTAGCTATTATTTGTGATCAGTTTTTTAAAGAGGAAAAATAGCATACTTTAAAATGGCCATAACTCCTTAAATATTGACATTTCGGGGTTTTTAGCTATTATTTGTGATCAGTTTTTTAAAGAGGAAAAATAGCATACTTTAAAGTGGCCACACCTCCTTAAATATTGACATTTCGGGGTTTTTAGCTATTATTTGTGATCACTTTTTTAAAGAGGAAAAATAGCATACTTTAAAATGGCCATAACTCCTTAAATATTGACATTTCGGGGTTTTTAGCTATTATTTGTGATCACTTTTTTAAAGAGGAAAAATAGCATACTTTAAAATGGTCATAACTCCTTAAATATTGACATTTCGGGGTTTTTAGCTATTATTTGTGATCAGTTTTTTAAAGTGGAAAAATAGCATACTTTAAAGTGGCCACACCTCCTTAAATATTGACATTTCGGGGTTTTTAGCTAATATTTGTGATCAGTTTTTTAAAGAGGAAAAATAGCATACTTTAAAGTGGCCACACCTCCTTAAATATTGACATTTCGGGGTTTTTAGCTATTATTTGTGATCAGTTTTTTAAAGAGGAAAAATAGCATACTTTAAAGTGGCCACACCTCCTTAAATATTGACATTTCGGGGTTTTTAGCTATTATTTGTGATCACTTTTTTAAAGAGGAAAAATAGCATACTTTAAAATGGCCATAACTCCTTAAATATTGACATTTCGGGGTTTTTAGCTATTATTTGTGATCAGTTTTTTAAAGAGGAAAAATAGCATACTTTAAAATGGCCATAACTCCTTAAATATTGACATTTCGGGGTTTTTAGCCATTATTTGTGATCAGGTTTTTAAAGAGGAAAATAACATACTTTAAAATGGCCATAACTCTTTAAATATTGACATTTCGGGGTTTTTAGCTATTATTTGTGATCAGTTTTTAAAAGAGGAAATATAGCACACTTTAAAATGGCCATAACTCCTTAAATGTTGACATTTCGGGGTTTTTAGCTATTATTTGTGATCACTTTTTTAGAGAGGAAATATAGCACACTTTAAAATGGCCATAACTCCTTAAATATTGACATTTCGGGGTTTTTAGCTATTATTTGTGATCACTTTTTTAGAGAGGAAATATAGCACACTTTAAAATGGCCATAACTCCTTAAATATTGACATTTCGGGGTTTTTAGCTATTATTTTTTAAAGAGGAAAAATAGCATACTGTAAAATGGCCATAACTCCTTAAATATTGACATTTCGGGGTTTTTAGCTATTATTTGTGGTCAGTTTTTTAAAGAGGAAAAATATCATACTTTAAAATGGCCATAACTCCCTAAATATTGACATTTCGGTGTTTTTAGCTATTATTTGTGATCAGTTTTTTAAAGAGGAAAAATAGCATACTTTAAAATGGCCATAACTCCTTAAATATTGACATTTCGGGGTTTTTAGCTATTATTTGTGGTCAGTTTTTTAAAGAGGAAAAATATCATACTTTAACATAGCCATAACTCCTTAAATATTGACATTTCGGGGTTTTTAGCTATTATTTGTGATCAGTTTTTTAAAGAGGAAAAATAGCATACTGTAAAATGGCCATAACTCCTTAAATATTGACATTTCGGGGTTTTTAGCTATTATTTGTGGTCAGTTTTTTAAAGAGGAAAAATATCATACTTTAAAATGGCCATAACTCCCTAAATATTGACATTTCGGGGTTTTTAGCTATTATTTGTAATGACTTTTTTAAAGAGGAAAAATAGCATACTTTAAAATGGCCATAACTCCTTAAATATCGACATTTCGGGGTTTTTAGCTATGTTTTTAGCTGTGTGAGGATCGGACAATAATTGCAATCTGTATATAATAACCCCAACCTGTGTTGTAAGGTGAAACAAGTTAAAAAGCAGTAAGTTCGGCCGGCCGAACTCCACCATTTGGAACGAAGTTGGAAATTTTCAATTTTCTATACGACGTGGACCTACATAGGCATTTTTTGTCATAAGCCATTACCATATTCAAATTCGAAACTTGAAATAAACGGTGAATAATGTAGCTAAAATCATCAAAATATCGTATATAGGGAGGTATCATTATTTCGGAGCTGTGCGAAGACCTGGACCAGCATAGACAATTTTCTGTCACAGGCTATAGCATCTATTACTAACGTCAAATACGATATCTCAAACAATTTCGGTGGGTATTGTACCTAAACTCGTCAAAATACCGAATATAGGGAGGTACTGATATATGGGACCTATACAAAGACCTGGACCTGCATTGACATTTTTCTGTCACTGTAGACTGTAGTTCCCATTACGAACTCTAAATACGTAATTTGAAACAATTCCGGTGAATAATGGCGCTAAAATCATCAAAATACCGAATTTTGGGAGGTACCGTTATATGGGGGCTATACGAAGACGTGGACCTGCACAGACAATTTTCTGTCATAGGCTGTAGTATCCATTTCGAACTTCAAATACCAAAGTTGAAACAATTCCGGTGAATAATGTCGCTAAAATCATCAAAATACCGAATATCGGGAGGTACCGTTATATGGGGGCTATATGAAAACGTGGACCTGCACAGACAATTTTCTGTCATAAGCTGTAGCATCCATTACGAATCTCAAATACCAAATTTGAAAAAATTCCGGTGAATAATGTCGCTAAAATCATCAAAATACCGAATATCGGGAGGTACCGTTATATGGGGGCTCTACGAAGATGTGGACCTGCCCAGATAATTTTCTGTCATAGGCTGTAGTATCCATTTCGAACTTCAAATACCAAAGTTGAAACAATTCCGGTGAATAATGTCGCTAGTATCATCAAAATACCAAATATAGGGAGGTACCGTTATATGGAGGCTCTACGAAGACGTGGACCTGCCCAGATAATTTTCTGTCATAGGCTGTAGTATCCATTTCGAACTTCAAATACTAAATTTTAAATTACTTCCGGGAAAAAGGTCGCTAAAATCATCAAAATACCGAATATCGGGAGGTACCTTTATATGGGGGCTATATGAATATAGGGAGGTACCGTTATATGGGGGCTCTACGAAGACGTGGACCTGCCCAGATAATTTTTTGTCATAGGCTGTAGCATCCATTACGAATCTCAAATACCAAATTTGAAACAATTCCGGTGAATTATGTCGCTAATATCATCAAAATACCGAACATAGCGAGGTGCCGTTATATGGGGGCAATACGAAGACGTGGACCTGCACAGACAATTTTCAGTCTTAGGGTGTAGAATCCATTTGGAACTTAAAATACCAAATTTGAAACAATTCCAGTGAATAATGTCGCTAAAATCATCAAAATACCGAATATAGGGAGGTACTGTTATATTGGGGCTATACGAGGACGTGGACCTGCAAAGACAATTTTCTGTCTTAGGGTGTAGTATCCATTTGGAACTTCAAATACCAGATTTGAAACAATTCCCGTGAATAATGTCGCTAAAATCATCGAAATACCGAATATCGGGAGGTACCGTTATATGGGGGCTATACGAAGACATAGACTTGCACAGACAATTTTCTATCTTAGGGTGTAGTATCCATTTGGAACTTCAAATACCAAATTTGAAACAATTCCGGTGAATAACGTCGCTAAAATCATCAAAATACCGAATATAGGGAGGTACCGTTATATTGGGGCTATACGAAGACGTGGACCTGCAAAGACAATTTTCTGTCTTAGGGTATAGTATCCATTTGGAACTTCAAATACCAGATTTGAAACAATTCCCGTGAATAATGTCGCTAAAATCATCAAAATACCGAATATCGGGAGGTACCGTTATATGGGGGCTATACGAAGACATAGACTTGCACAGATAATTTTCTATCTTAGGGTGTAGTATCCATTTGGAACTTAAAATACCAAATTTGAATCAATTCCGGTGAATAACGTCGCTAAAATCATCAAAATATGAAAACGTGGACCTACATGGCCCATTTACGAACTTAACCTGCCTACTGGAAAAATAAACATGTGTGCAAAATTTTAGCCATCTATCGCAATTTATTCGAAAGATAGCGTGATTACAACAGACAGACAGACGGACAGACAGACAGACAGACGGACAGACGGACAGACAGACAGACGGACAGACAGACAGACAGACAGACAGACGGACATCGCTAAATCGACTTAGAATTTTACGCTGATCAAGAATATATATACTTTGTTGGGTCTGACATGAGTATTTCGAGGAGTTACAAACGGAATGACAAAGTTAATATACCCTCCATAGTATGGTGGAGGGTATAAAAAGGTGGTGAGTATGTTTTTCATATCTCGAAAATATGTGGAAATCTCTTAATCTTCCCTTAAAGAAAAAATAATTCTGGAAAATATTTTATAAAAAAATATGTCTTTTAATTTGTTGCAATCATAGTAGAAATAATAATAGTAATAATAATATCAAATAATAATAAATATACAGGAAAAAAATTTAAAAATATATATAAGTGTGTATATATTGATGATATGCATTGTCTGTAGTCTATATATAAGGCAACTACTCTTAGAAAAAATAAAAAAATAAACCTTAAAATAATAACAATAGTTTAAGTACAAAATATAATGATAGGATCATTTAGGTCTTTTAGCAGAAATTTGATTTTTTTCGAATATTTTTTTTAAATACATTTATGTATTTTAAAGCCAAAGTGCATACATACATACATGCGCGTAAAAAGAAAATCTAAATTCTTAAATTCAAAATTAATTTCTAAACTAGAATTTATAATTTAAATTATTTAACTTTTAAAAAGTATTGAGAATAGGCTTAAATTACACTTCTATGTCTGTGTGTATATTTAAAATCTTTAAATGTAGGTGTGTGTGTGTGTATTTATATGTCTCTTTCACAAAATCTCAAAACGATGGTTTACTGCTACTCATGCCCCGCGCCGGCAAACTATTGGTTTTCGTATGCGGATTATCACGGGCCTGCGAATGAGCCACCACAATACTGAGGCACTGCACCCACTCCTCGGCATTTTTGCCATCCTTCGGCTTGAGTATTAGTGTTTGATCGGCTGTAAATATTTCAAATGCCTTGGGTATGTTGCGGGCACCACGCGACACCTTTACCGAACGGATTTGATTCACATCAATGCTCTCACCACCACTCTGGAAGTTTCGGAATCGAAAGGGATTAAAATCTCGAAGGAGAATGTATTGCCAACAAATATACTCACCGATCCTTTGCACGACAAATGTGCCCCCGATAGGGTAAAATATCTGGTACGCCACCGTCGAAATAGCCGCCACTTGCCCTTTTTCTCTTTCAATTGACCCTCAATCATGGGTTGATTACTGCCATTCAAGAAGCCCATTGCCTTGTCCGGATGATTGCATAGGAAGCAACCCCATTGATATTCCAGCTCATTGCAATTCGGATTAGATTTATCAGTCTTGGAGACTTCGAAAACATCTAAGAAGCCTGAATGTCTTAATTCATTGACCAGGATTTCACGGTCCTGGAAATTTAAAAAATAAAGAATTTGGTAAAAGAAATCTTCTTCTTGTTCTCTCATGGATAGATCAGGGCTTTATGGATAGAAAAGTATTTCCAGGGATATAAGCGGTATTTTAAGGATAGAAGAGGTCTTCTAGGGATAGAAGAGGTCTTCTATGGATAGAAGAGGTCTTCTAGGGATAGAAAAGGTTTTCTATTGATAGAAGAGGTATTCTATGGCTATAAGAGGTCTTCTATGGATAGAAGAGGGGTTCTTCTATGGATAGAAGAGGTCTACTATGGATAGAAGAGGTCTTTTGTGGATAGAAAAGGTCTTCTATGAATAAAAGTGGTCTTCTATAAATAAAAGAGGCCTTCTATGTATGGAAGAGGTCTCCTATGGACAGAAGAGTTCTTCTATGGATAGAAGAGGTCTTCTATGGATAGAAGGGGTCTTCTATGGATAAAAGAGATCTTTTTTTTGGATAGCAGAAGTCTTCTATGGATTGAAGACGTCTTCTATGGATAGAAGAGGTCTTCTACGGATAGAAGAGGTCTTCTACGGATAGAAGAGTTCTTCTATGGATAGAAAAGGTCTTCTATGGATAGAAGAGGTCTTCTATGGATAGAAGAGGTCTTCTATGGATAGGAGAGGTCTTCTATGGGTAGAAGAGGTCTTCTATGAATAGGAGAGGTCTTCTATGTATAGAAGAGATCTTCTATGTATAGAAGAGATCTTCTATGGATAGGAGAGGTCTTCTATGGATAGAAAAGGTATTTTATGGATAGAAGATGTCTTCTATGGGTAGAAGAGGTCTTATATGGGTAGAACAGGACCTCTATTGAGGCCTTTAGTCTCTTCATTTCCTTACCTTTATGCTCGGAAACTGGCTGGTGACCAATTCGGTAAAACTGCGATTTTCACATTTGAGTATTTGCCAGATATTTTTCAAATTACTTATACCCGGTTCTCGGGTACTCAGGACACTTTTTTCCTTAACCTAGAAAAGAAATTTAATTTGTTATTCACATTTAAATGAATATTCACATCCTAATACTCACATAGTGCCTGACTTGAAAGTCCAGAAACATTAAATGTATCCAGGTCTTGGGATTGCGGGTTCTCATCGTAAAACAGGTCTTCGAGTATAGGCAATGGGGTCCTCGTATCTGACAGGCAAAATGTAATTTTGCCACTTTCTTTGAGCGTCGCTCTGCAAATTCATTGGAAACTTGTTTTGTGTAATTTTTTGGTGTGTTTTTGGGGGGATCGAAGGACAGACAGACAGAAGGCAAGCAAGTTAACAACAACAACAAACAAGAAGGATACGTTAAATACAGAACAGCATTCACATTTGGTTACGACAAACAGGTGGTTATATGAAATCAAAAGAAATTAGAAAAAAAAGTTAATAATTTTTATAGGACATTCCAATATAATGTGTGTGTATGTATGTGTAGGTGAAGGGAAATAGGGAGAGAAAAAAAAAACAAATATGGATACAAATTACAAACATATAAAACAAACATGCAAAATAATAATAATATATCTTCTTATGAGAGGGGTTTCAAGCTAAAGAAGGATATTCCTATCCTCTTCCATACGTGGGAGAGAGAGTATCTCTTTTCTACCCATAGAAGATCCTCTCTCTTCTATCCATACAAGATCCTATCTTTTCTATCCACAGATGAACCATTTTCTCTTATCAATAGATAGTCTCTCTCTTCTATCCATAGAAGAGCCTCTCTCTCATATCCATAGAAGAGCCTCTCTCTCATATCCATAGAAGAGCCTCTCTCTCCTATCCATAGAAGAGCCTCTCTCTCATATCCATAGAAGAGCCTCTCTCTCATATCCATAGAAGAGCCTTTCTCTCCTATCCATAGAAGAGCCTCTCTCTCCTATTCATAGAAGAGCCTCTCTCTCCTATCCATAGAAGAGCCTTTCTCTCCTATCCATAGAAGAGTCTCTCTCTCCTATCCATAGAAGAGCCTCACTCTCCTATCCATAGAAGAGCCTCTCTCTCCTATCCATAGGAGAGCCTCTCTCTCCTATCCATAGGAGAGCCTCTCTCTCCTATCCATAGAAGAGCCTCTCTCTCCTATCCATAGAAGAGCCTCTCTCTTCTATCCATTGAAGAGCCTCTCTCTTCTATCCATAGAAGAGATCTCTCTCTCTTCTATCCATAGAAGAGCCTCTCTCTTATATCCATAGAAGAGTCACTCTCTTATATCCATAGAAGAGTAACTCTCTTATATCCGTAGAAGAATCAATCTCTTCACAGACTCTCTCCATAGAAGAGTCACACCCTTCTATAGAAGAGAATCACTCCATAGAAGAGTCACACCCTTCTATAGAAGATAATCACTCCATAGAAGAGTCACTCTCTTCTATCCATAGAAGAGCTCACTCTCTTCTATCCATAGAAGAGCTCACTCTCTTCTATCTATAGAAGAGCTCACTCTCTTCTATCTATAGAAGAGCTCACTCTCTTCTAGCCATAGAATAGCACCCTCTCTTCTTCCTCTCCTGTGGATAGAAGTATTTTCCTTCCGGTCTATAGTAAGAAGTTTCTCCCACCTCCCACTTGAATAGCTCTCCCTCTCTACTCTTTTCATTTCTCTACTAAACTCTCAATTTACCTTCTATGCTACACCGCGTCGGGGGTGGCAACATTTGCGAAACCTCATCCATGTAGGAGCTGATGGAGGAGAAGTGTTTCTCACAAAATTGCTGGACGGGGTCACGCATTATTTGATAGGGTTCAAAGGTACTCATGCGCTGGTCCAAAATGCTGTTGTTGGCATTCAAGAGAGTGCGGCTGGTGTTGTCATTGCGGCGTGGTGTTACATTGGTCGTGGGACCCGAGACTATGACTTCGTGGTCGCTCTGGAAAGAGAGAAGATAAATGTGAATTAACTACGGAACCCGATCCTGATATGGTGGTGACCATCCTTACACTTCCATTCACTGGTAACTTCATCACAGATTTTTGATTGCCATTATTTTGATGTGGCAAGGCTGGCGATGCATGATGCACCGAAACGGGATTTGTGGGTGCCGTTATGGATCCAATGGATTGATTGAGAGCATCGGTACTGTATTTCATGAGGGCGGCACTGGTGTTTAGAAGGGTGGTGGGGCCCTGCGACTGAGGGCGCATTTTCGTGGGCGATGTGGTGACCGTTACCCCACCCGAGGTCACCTGGGTTGAGGGAATACCCCATTTGTTGTGACCCGTTATGATAACATTATTACTCAGCGGAGGTACGGGTGTAACATAGCCAGGGCTGTTGGGTGATGTGGGCGTCTTGGGCATCACTCCTGTCTGGACCACCACATTACTGCTGGAGGTGGAATTATTGGCTGTATTCGAACCGGAACCGGATGCTGAACCTCCACCATTTTGATTTATGTGCTGCGATGAACTCAGCCGGGTCATACTCTTGTGAAGACCACCCACTGAACCTCCGGCCACATTGAGACGGGTCATACTGCGATGGGTATTTCCCGAAGGATGTAGCCTCCCCGTGCTGCGAGAGTCGCCGAGTTTAACTCGTCGTGTATAGCCTGTGTGGGGTGGAGTGGGCGGTACTGTGGCGGTTGTGTTGCCGGAACTGGGAGGTTGAGTTAGAACTGGAACGGGATTGGGGGCATTGGATGCTGTAAGAAGAGGGGGAATATATCATTATTACGTAACTTTCAAAGAAGGGTGATCCACTTACGTATCTTGATATTCCCCGTGGTAATTGTCCGCCTGTACGGATCCTTGGGGCTGTTTGGACTGCTGCGACTCTGTTTACTCTTGTGCGTGCGTCCTGTGGTGGCATGAGTGGTATGACCCGAGGGCACCGTGACAGTTGTGGTACTGGTAACCGGATCTGCACTGATAATTGTGGAGTGTTGGGCCACCGAACTGGGGGCCCCTGAAGTATTTACCACAATCCCGGAGGTCTTACCCACCAGAGGCTGTTGGATCCCTGGCTGTTCATGGGGGCTATTCAAATTGACAATTGTCACCCCTCCGGAGGTTTTGTTGCCCACATCCACGCTTGTTTCCGAGGAAGACAATTTTTGTTGGCTAAAGAGAGGGAAGAAGATCAGAATAAGCTGAATACTTAAAAGATGTTTAACTCACCTCAGAGCATTCTTTTGCCTCACACAAGCCAACACCTTGTCGGTAAATAAAATCGGAAACGACGAACATAACTTGGTGGCCTCCTGCAACAACACCGCCTGCGAAGTCCTATCGGCATGTGGCAATTGTTCCAACACAAAATCCAAGGCATATTGAGCATTCTCCTTATTGGTTCGTCCTGCCGTGGCCAATACCTGGGCACCCAGGGACATTGTATTCGGATTGGTTTTGGTGGCCAAGCGTATCTTATCAAAATGTTCCGCCACCAGCAGAGGCCTTTGCTCGGCCAGCTTTAAGAGGATTTGCATTGTTGTGCTGGCCGTTTCACTGTCATAGAGGAACTCACATAACGGTGAAATGCACGATTCTAAAACTAAGGGAGTCCTTTGGGCTATTAACAGATACAATTGAAAGACGGCCAGTCTTTCTTGAGAATCACATTCAGGTAGCAGGGCCACCAGTTGGGGTGCATGGGGCGACACTGTGTCGGGGGAAACTTCATAGATTTGGGATAGTACCCTCAAAAGGCCATAGTTGCCGGCCAAAATCGAGTTCATAATCGAATCTACATGGGGACTTAACAGATAGGCGTAATCGATGGCAGCCAGCGAGAGATAGCTGGCCAGATTGCGGGAAAGTTCACGATTACCCTTGGGCAGGAATTGTACGGCAATGGGAAGGGCCAACTTCATTACCTCACGTTTGTCATAATTCTGGAGAGGAGAGAGGGAAAGAGAGATTTTTTTTTTAATTTCAAGGACTGTTAAAGCCGTGGTACTTACCAAAAATATACTCGATATAATATCGGCAGCAATTTTCGCATGCGGCGGATCCTCTTTGTTGCTACCGCTCGGCTGGAGATTCCATAGAAGACAGGTCTTAAGTAGATCGATAAGTGCAGCACAGTAGCGTTCGGCTGTTTTCGTTTCACGAATACAGGACAGAACTCGCGTTACACAGATCTCCACCACAGACTGGTCGTTGTTGTTTTTCAAATAGTCCGCCAAAGAGATGATGGCGTTGATATCAGAGAGCTGGAAAAGAGAGGATTTGGTAACAAAAAGTTGAGAATGTTTATAGAGTGGAAAGGGAGAGGGCGACTTACCACATCGGTGATATCGTTGACAATGTCATTGTCGGGTACGGAAAACAGATCACCGGCCCGCGACAGATCACGTTTTGAGAGTACTTTTGTGAAGAGTTCATGCATTTTGGAACAAGTTCTCTTTTTATGCTACTCTCTTTTAGACAAGAAATTAACTTTGTTTTTTGTGTTGAACCTAATGGGTATTACGAATTGTAGACATTTTTAGCAGGGAAGTATCTGGAAAGAGAGAATAGAAAAATAAAAATTATTAGATTTCAAATCACACAGTTTAAAAAATATTTCTTAGGACTAATTGGAGACTCAAAGCGTGGATTTTTAAGAATATTTTTAAGGATCAGCAGAACCTCAAGACGTAGATTGTTTTTAGAAAATATTCTTAGGGACCCATAGATCTACTAAACGTGGAGATTGAAGAATTATTTTTCAAGGACTAACGGAGCCATCAAATGTGCATTTCTAAGAATATTTTCAAGGACCAAGAGAGCCTTTAAATGAGGACTTTTAAGAATATCTTTTCAAGGAGTAACAGAGCTACTAATGTGGATTTTTAAGAACTTTTTTTAAGGGCTTCAGAGCCACTATATAAGGAGTTTTAAGAATATTTTTCCAATGACCCTCAGTTTCACTAAATGTGGAATTTTGAGACCTATTTTTTAAGGACTACCCTATTTTTAGACCTATTTTTTTAAGGACTAACAGAGCAACCATATGTGGATTTTTAAGAACAGAACCACAAAATGTCGATTTTTTAGAATTATTTTTTCCAGGACCAACAGAACCACTAAATTTTTAAGATATTTTTTTAAGAAGAATATTTTTTGGAGACCCACTGACAACGTGGATTTTTTAAAAATATTTTTTCAAGGACCCACTGTCAACGTGGATTTTTAAAAAAACCAAGAATTGACGTGGATTTTTTAAAAAAGACCAAGAATCGACGTGGATTTTTAAAAAAAAAAAACCAAGAATTGACGTGGATTTTTTTGAAAAAGACCAAAAATCGGCGTGGATTTTTAAAAAATATTTTTTAAGGGCCACCTGAAATCGTGGATTTTTAAAAACGTCCCACAATCGACCTGAATTTTTTAAAAAATATTTTTTAAGGGCCACCTGAAATCGTGGATTTTTAAAAACGTCCCACAATCGACCTGAATTTTTTAAAAATAATTTATCACGGATCCACTGTCAACGTGCATTTAAAAAAAAAAAACAAGAATTGACGTGGATTAAAAAAAAAACAAAAATCGACGTGGATTTTAAAAAAACCAAGAATTTACGTGGATTTTTTAAGAAAGACCAAGAATCGACGTGGATTTTTAAAAAATATTTTTCAAGGGCCACCTGAAACCGTGGATTTTTAAAAAATATTTTGAAAGAGGGAAACCTGAAATCCTGGATTTTTAAAAAAGACCCACAATCGACCTGAATTTTTTAAAAATATTTTTTTAAGGACCCACTGTCAACGTGGATTTTTTAAAAATATTTTTTCAAGGACCCTCTGTCCAAGTGGATTTTTTAAAAATATTTTTTCAAGGACCGACTGTCAACGTTGATTTTTTAAAAATATTTTTTCAAGGATCCACTGTCAACGTGGATTTTTAAAAATATTTTTTTCAAAGACCCTCTGTCAAAGTGGATTTTTTAAACATATTTTTTCAATTAACCTCTGTCAAAGTGGATTTTTTAAAAAAAAAATTTCAAATCACGAAGTTAATGTGGATTTTTTGAAAAAAAAATATCAAGGACCTAGAATTAACGTGGATTTTTTAAAAATATTTTTGCAAATCACGAAGTTGAAGTGGATATTTTGAAAAAAAATCAAGGACTCAGAATTAACGTAGATTTTTTTTAAATATTTTTTTAAGGAGCAATGAACGGATTTTTTTAAAAATATTTTTTTAAGGGGCTGTAAACGTGGATTTTTTTTTAAATATTTTTTAAGTAGCAATAAACTTGATTTTTTTTAAAAATATTTTTTTTAAGGAGCGATAAACGTGAATTTTTTTAAAAATAATTTGTAAGGAGCAATAAACGTGGATTTTTTGAAAAATATTTTTAAGGAACCATAAAACTTAATGATTCGCCGACAGTTTGGATTTAAAAAAAAATATAAATATTTTTGGAATGACCCACAATCAACGTGGATTTTTCAAAAACATGGTCTCAAGGATTAGAAGGTCAGCTTGGATTAAAAAAAATAAAAATTGAAAGACCGACTGACAGCTTGGATTTTTTAAAAATATTTTTGCAAGTACCAACAATCAACGTGGATTTTTAAAAGTACTTTCTGAAGGACCCACTGACAGCTGTAATCCACTGTCAACGTGGATGTTTTATAAATGTATTTTCAAAGACCCACTGTCAACGTGGATTTTTTAAAAGTACTTTCTGAAGGACCCACTGACAGCTGTCATCCACTGTCAACGTGGATGTTTTATAAATGTATTTTCAAAGACCCACTGTCAACGTGGATTTTTTAAAAATATTTTTTCGAAAACCCACCGAAAACGTGGATATTTTAAAAATATTGGTTTAAGGACACACAATCTACGTGGATTTTTTAAAAATATTTTTTCTAGGACTCACTGACGGCTTAGATTTTTTGAAAGTTTTTTTCATGGTCCCACTGACACATGGTTTTTTTAAAAATATTTTTTCAAGGACCTACTGTAAAAGTTAATTTTTTAAAAATATTTTTACGTAGAACCACTGACAGCGTGGATTTTTTTAAAAAAATTTCTCAAGGACCCACAATCAACGTGATTTTTTAAAAACATTTTTTAAAGACCCACGGTCACGTGGATTTTTAAAAAAAAAATTTTCAAGGACCCACAATCAACGTGATTTTTAAAAAAAATTCTCAAGGACCCACAATCAACGCGACCTTTTTAAAACATTTTTTAAGGACCCATTGTCATGGTAGATTTTCTAAAAATATTTTTTTAAAGATCAACGATTAACGTGGATTTGTTATTTTATTGATTTTTTTTTTTGTTAATTTCAAATATCGAAATTCTCAAACTTGTAGCCTAGTGTCCCATGGCAAATTGTTAATGAAAATTAATTTCAATGCATGGAGGTGTGATGGAGGGTAGAACTTGAAACATGTAAAACAAAACAAACGTGTATCGCCAAAAAAGATAAGATAACAGAAATAAAAATCGAATCACAACCTCAGACTAGAACAAAAAGCAAAGAAGCAAAGAACAACAAATGTTTGTCGTCGATCAACAAACAACTTCGGGCAAATGAATGACGTGAAGACGAAAAAAAGGAAATACAACAACAATTGAGCTGATATTGGCAGCAACATCATTTCAACATCAATTGTTGTTGGTTGCCATTGGCAATAGACCAAAAAGTCAAGTTGCTACCAGTCGTTAACAACATTGTTTGCGTCGCTACGTTTGCCTGTCTGTCTGTCTCTGGGACTCTTCAAATGTCTAGCTGGCTGTCTTGTCATTTATTGGCAATGTTTAGCAAATAAATTGCATAGAACATTCAGCCAGTCAGCCCGTCACTCAGCTAAGCAGCCATCAGAAGCGTATGGAAAAAAATTGACAATGAGCGACATCTTAATGATCGTTAAACGCCACCAAAACCGACCCCATCTCACACGCTCCGTGTGCGAGTCAAGACGCGAGGGGAAGTTCAAAATTTGCGTAGCTGCCAAAATGATGCAAATAGAAGAAGCGTGAGAATTGTTTTTTTTTTTTTTTTGGTTGGTTTTCTTTGCCTCTTCTATTTCTAGTTTTTGGTTTGTTGTGGCATACCACAGCGCACAAAAAATATATTTTTGTGGACAATTATTTTTAGATGACATTTGTTTTGCTGAGAGCGTCTAATAGAAATATTTTTGATGCAGCTACCATGAGATGGGAGGGTATGCTAAGTTTTGTTGGGTTATCTGTGACATTTTAATTTTGAAGGAATTTATTTCAAGGGCCACTCGGCCTGAAATCCAGGATTTTTTTTCCAAGGACGAACAGATCAATCAATGTTCGATGAGTGTTTAAAGAATTTTCCGATGAGCAAAAGAGTTAAAAGATTTCCCCATGACCTAAAATCCTGTATATTTAGGGATTTTTTAATGAGTTGAGTCACCTTAAAATTTGGATTATTTTAGAATATTTTTCAAGGTCGACTAACTAGACGATCGAATAGAGTATTTAAAATATTTTTATAAGGATCTGTGTTCCATTATTCGAGGAATTTTTAAGGAATAATTTTCAATGAGCCAGCAGACCATTATTCATGGATTTCCAAGAATATTTTTTCCAAGGACTAACCGGCCATTAAATTTAATTTTCTTAGAATTTTTCTTTAAGGACCAACACAGCTACTAAACGTGGATTTTTAAGAATAATTTTCAAGGAAGAGTACACCATTACTTCTAGAGTTTTTTAGAATATTTGTTCAGGACCCAGACCATTATTCGATGTATTTTTAAAGAAAGAATTTTTTGAAGACCAATGTACTATTAAATGTGGATTTTTAAGAATATTTTTTCAAGGACCAATAGAGTCACTAAATGTAGATATTAAGGATATTTTCCTAAGGAACACCAGAGCCACAATGAACAGGTTTTTACGAACATTTTTCCAAGGACCTACAGACCACTAAACGTGGATTTTTATGAATATTTTTTTAAGGATCGACAGAGTTGCAAAACATGAATTTTTAAGAATATTTTTCCCCGGGCCAACTGAGCCATTAAACATCGGTTTTTGTGAATATTTTTTCAAGGAACCCCAGATCCACTAAACATGGATTTTTAAGAGTATTTTTCCAAGGATCAACAGAACATTTCACGTGTTTTTTAAGGACCAACAGACCTTTTAACGTGGATTCTTTAAGGAATTTATTTTGAGGACAAACAAACTATTGAACCTGTATTTTTTATGAAGTTCATTTTAAAGACCGATGTGGACTTAAAAAAAACTAGGACCAACAGTTGGCCAATCTTGATTTTTTAAAGAAAAAATTTCTAGAACCAACAGTGGATTTTTTTAAGAATTTTTTCAAGGACCAAATGTGAAGCGGAATGTGAATTGAAATGTGAATTTGTCCAAGGACAAACAGTAGACCAAACGTAATTTTTTTTATAAATTTTTTCGGGAACCAGCAGTAGACCAAACGTGGATTTTTTAAAAAAATATATTGAGGACAAACAGTGGGGCAAATGTGGATTTTCTAAATTTTTTAAAGAATTTTTT